ATAAAAAAAAAAAAAAAAAAAAAAATCAGGATAGAAAAGGAACCAGCTCAACCTCTTTTAAGAAAGCTTTACCTGGTTCACTCGGACAATAGGGCAGAATCGAATGATTATGATCACGACAATCAGGTCAGGTATATAAACTTTACCTCGGAGGTAAATTTCTAGCAAGATGGATATGATTCCTCATTTCTCATGAACCTAGAAAGAGATGAGTCTGGATCATATCAGAATCAGACCTTTCCTTCATATTGGAAAAATTGTTTGTAATCCTGCTGTAATGTTGCCAGAGCATTCCTACATGGACCTTCTGTAGAGAGCACAGCACAAAAATATGTGAACTTTTTGCATCTTCATTTCTGTTTGCTAAGAAAACTGTATGACTTGATGATACTTACCGCCAAATACAGTGTGAAGATATTGAAGATCCTCAGCTGAACAGGCATCTATTAGAGCGTAGACACCGGGCCTTAACGCTTTGTCGATTTCCCTGCAGCGGAATTGCCAAGATCATAAGCTAAGCATTTACTGGCCTGCTCGAGAAAAAGTTAAGCAAATTGTATTTTTAAGACTGTAGAACTATAATTTGCTAGCCCATATTTACAAATGGATATACTATGCATTGTATTTGTAAGATTTAGAACTATAATTTGCTGAAATTTTTCTTTCATAGAAGTTTAGGATCCAAACCTTCTAATCCCGGATTTTAGGGGACCGAGTCCCGAGTAAACCGAAATGTAATTTGAGAGGAAGAGGGAGCAGTGTCGCCCTACAAATTCCCGCTGCTGTCTTATCTGTGTCATGGAAACAGAAAAAAGTATGTCACTTGGACAAACAAGATACGACAGATGAATACAACTTTAGTATCAGAGTGAAATTTCGAATAGTACGAGATATTAACGAGTCCTATCATAAAGGGACAATCGATATTATCGATCCAATGACTAAGAGTATTTATTGCTAAACGGAGAAAAAAATTAATGCTGATGCTATTCAGGCTGTAGAACTCGAGCAATAAAAAGTTATCAAGAAATATTGACAGAAATATAAACCTCTTCATAAATTCTTCGGAGGAAACAAGCACACTTTACTCCCTCGTCTACATTCCATGAAAAGTAACCACCCACAAGTTCCGGATCTGGATCTACTCTTTCAAGGGAATGAAGAAGAACGGATACTGATGCTTGTAGCTGAGCAATGGACTGCTTGCACTCACTATGGAAAACGACAAGATTAGTTCGATCATATCGAATCAAGGGTTTGAATGGAAGGCACAGTAAACAGTCAAAATTGACTCCCACAACAATTATCAATTTGATTCTAGCTTGACAAGACATGATTAGAGATCACCAGGAATTACATGAAGAATAATAACAAGGTTCTGAACTTCTTTACAATTACAGCTTACAAACGTCAAAAGGCAACTATTTTCATTCTTTTAGCTCGACAAACAAAGATTAGAAAGTAATCAATAACCCCTAAATTACACGGTTCTGCCATTCGATTGTTCAAACTAGAACAAGTTGTGCTTTATGTAGTGAAAAAGACTACAAAATATTTCAAGAATCATCTGTAGCGAAACATCAAGTAACTAGTATAGTATCCAATCATCAGGCAAGAATAAATCACCAGTAGAAAATGATCAAAAGAAAAATATTGATTACTCTGCAGCGAAAGATATTAAGAATCGCCTTTACAAATAAATTCCCGAACCTAAATCATACCTCTTATGATGCTTGAGAACAGTAAATAACAAACGGCAGCAGGCAGCGAAAAGATCTATTAAGAATTGTCTGTCTATAATCGAATTACTTGTGGCTACAACTGTATTGGAGGCTTCCTGAGTTGAGATAAGGGAATTTTCTGATTGAACAGGAATTCCTGGGAGCTTAAAAGAAAAATCTTCAAAAAGTGCTGCAGGAATGCGTAAACACTGTGCTACATGCCAAGCATTCATTTGGTATATAGCATGCTTCCCTGAAACTCTTGCAAGCACTTCAACAGACATAAGAATGACTGCTCCGGGATCTGGATCACTCCTGCCTTTTGTGTCAACCGTTCTTACATAGAAAATATGTGGACTCTGCAGGTGCAGAACTATGCTAAACAGACCAGCAATTAAGCTCTGAATGTGTCTTTTAACCACACCCAAGCCTTTACGTCCTAAAAAACAAGTGAGAAAAGGAGAATCAAATTAGGTTAAGATTGGTAAATCGGCCAAGCTTAAATTGCAGAACAAAATCATCTTGAAGAAAAGTTTATTAAAAGAATACATAGACATGATTATTTCACAGTAGAGAAAAAGCTAAAAGATATCAATTTCAACAATAACCTTTCGCCTTTGCTGCTCCTACATACAGGCAATGCAACATACGAGACCACGGAAAAGTAACATAAAACTAAATATGCATAAACACTATAGTACATGTTGAAAAGAGTTTATAAGACTGCCCATTTACAAGGCTGCAAAAGAAGAAAAAGATTTGAAGGAATACATCAAAATAACAAAGCAAATAGTACATGCTCTTATATGGTGATGAAAAATTACCTGAAACAAATTCAAGAACCAGATCCAAGCATTCAACACCAGCCGCAACAATAGAGGAACAGCTTCCCCCATCTTCACTTCCAGAACATAATTCATATGTCGCTGTACAACCTTCCTGCACTCCAACTAGGGCTCTCTCTATAGCCTGAATAGCAGATAAGAGATGCAACTCCGAGGCTTCCCTTATGAACACTTTGAATGACATTCTCAATGAAGATTTAAATTCATCCATGCAGTAGACTACAGGAAAAGATGATTCTTCGAATAGTCCCCCATCAAGAGTCTTAGTAGTGGACTCCGTCTCATGGGATGCTAAAGTAGCTCTTTTTCTCTGTAGAGATATACACTTTCCCATTGCTTTCAAATGGAGATTTACAAGTCTAGAATATAGGTCTCTGGATTTCATTGGATCAGCAGAAGGAAACAGATGGCCTAATTCCTCCAGATACTTAAGAACACCATCTAAGCATGCAAACAAAAATGGTTCTGGCACTTCAACCATATTCTCAAATTCTAGCAACAAGAATCTTGAAAAGCCAATTACGATGGCCATAAAACTTGATGACAGAGGAACGGTACCATATTGCTTATGCAATCTCAAAATGACTGAAGCAGCAAGAAATAGCTGCTTAAGTGCAAATGCTACATCAGGGCAGGATCCTTTCAGCAGTCCCTGCAAAAAGGATTGGTTCAACGATTGCATCTCAATTGTGTTAGCCTCATTGAGAATGGATGCAACACTGCTTTTATTTTCCAATTTCAACCTTTTTTTATTTGTGCTACCACTTTCACTGCCATCATCACAATGGGAAGATTCTAATTCACGATTTTTACTAAATGAAATATCAGCCTCAGAGCCAGAGTGCTTAACCTTGACCTCATCCACAACCAAAAGGTCTTGAGATGGTTGATTATCACACAATTTTGTTGGCCATTGACTGTCTCTATCAAGAAACATTTCCAAGATAAGACCTAACAGTTCCGAAGTTGCATTCATACAAAGGTTAAGTTTGGAACTGTATTCAAATTTCAATTTCATTGATCTCATGCGACGGTTACCATTCCTCAAATCAGTGTGGTCAACAGCAGAGGCTAGGCCCCACAAAAATCCATTAAGGCAAGAAGCTAGAGAATTAACTTTACACATTTGGGCACTATTTTTACCATCTCCAACTGAAACATTAGACTTCCTCAGAGAAATAAGTTCACTCTCCACCTGTTCCTTCAGACTGATACTCATTTGAATTGCACTATTGCACTCTTCTACACAGTGAGTGGAATCTAAAGATCCACCATCTCCATCATTTAGTTCATGGCAAACGTCCTGGTGTTCCTCCTTGCAGGGCTTGTTGTCAATTACCATTAATCGTAAAGCATTCTTAAATTGATATTTGCTAGTTGTTAAAAACAAGTATGATGTATGATCCATCAAGGAGAAGATGATATCCTTAATTTTTGTGGCAGTACTTCCTCCAGAAGCTTCTTGAATTCGATTAACAATTGATATAGACTTAAAAAGCCATGAAACGGGAAATTGATTTTCAGATGGGAGTGGAATAGATGAGCTTTGTTCATTGCCAGCCTCATAGTAAGCCATAAATATATATTTCAAGGCCTTCCGGCAAGATGCAAACAATTTGAGGAGTTCAAATTGATTTGAACATAGAACAGTCTGATTATCTAATAAAGCACTCACCAATTGCCTGGAAAACAAAACAAAAGTAGAAGGGAATAAATTTCAAAGGCTCTTGACTACGACACTCCAAGAAGAAGCTACAAAAAAAAATCATCTTCCAAGATTCACAACAGAAATAGTTGTTTGCCATTCTATTATTTATAGTCTAATTAATAGCAATGATATGAAAAGCAATGACAAACAAGTGAGTTCTATATTATCCTGCAAACTAAGAAACATTATATTCTGGCACCGTTGATAAGAAAAGAGAGCAAGGAAAATGCATACCTTTCAAGTTTGAGAACATGAGTCGTATAAAGGGAGAAGGACCTTGAACTAAAGTTCCCTTTTGGCATCCAACACAAAAGGTCAATCAAATGCTGACAAGCTCTGAAACTCAAATTGCTTTGAGAAGAATCACCCTTCCACTTGCAATCTTCTGTATATAACATATCAGATGAATGATTTACTATTTTTGCAAGGGGAGCACTATCATCAGGAGTGCGTGTTCCACTGCAAACACTAGTAGTTAAGCGCTCAAGTGTGCATATCACCTCCATCCAATCAGTTGAACTTGTATTAATATCATGAAAAGATGATAATAATGAAACGCTCAACTCACGACAAAACCTTGATGGCAAAAACCTGCAGACAAACTAAAAGAATAGATAGTATAGCCATCATCTGATATGATAAACTCCATAAAAACTAGGAAATTTGAAAAAGAAATTAGACTGAAAGGTATTGACGGCAATGAAACCTTCAAAAGACATTAACTATCACGTGCAAACGAAAACTAAAGTATAAAACGTTTTTTTAAAAAAAATAAACAGAGACTGAGAGGGTGAGTAGTATTTATTTCAGTGTCTTACTCTGTGTTCATAAAAGATGGGATCACTTAGAGCAGCTGATGAAATTTGTTGCAGGGACACTTTCTTTAGCTGCCGAAATCCATTGGTCTGTTGTCTTCCAATCTTCGTATCACTGCTTACTAAAAATTGATGGGATGTACGAATTAAAAAAGAAAGGAACATTTTTAGCTTCTTTTTAGCAGCATGATTCACCCAAATATCAACATTTTGACAAACAATCCACCAAACTGCTGTGGGGAATGACCTTTTGTTCACGTTACAAATACTAAAGTCCCAATCATCAATCTCACTGAGCATTACAGTAGATTTATCATTTGAAGTCGCAACTTCTTTAGTTGAATTCAAAACTTGACGTTTAACTACTGAAGAAAAATGCCTCATCATGAAATCAGTAAGATCTTCTGCTTCTTTCCGCAAAACAGAGACAAGCCTCGAATACTTTTTGCTCTTCTTCTGTAACACGGACAAGCCATCATCACCAAGCACCTCAACCTGCATCAAATTCTTATTTCTATGGTACAAATACTCAAGGGAGCCAATTTGTTTATTCAAATCCACTAACCTCTGAAGAGCCATGGTGAGCAATACATAAATTAAAGGGTACCAACCTACATTGGTGTCTTGATGATAAAGACTACAAACAGATTGGGCAACAACAAGTACAGAAGCTGAAGGTCGAATTATCCATGAGAAATATCCTTCATCACTCCAGTCAGTCCTCTGCATCCAATCACAGGCAGAATAGGCTACGAATGAGTCTCCAATTGCTGCTGACATCTTTCTAGATGAACTTGGAGGCATCAGGCTAATAGCTTGCCTGTACAGGTTCCGACAGGACATGTACAGGCAAAGGAAAAAAACAAAGACCCAATGACTGGTTACTCCAAATCCAAGACAAATATCTTCATCTGCAACCATATCATCACATGTTTCACCCATGACAGCAGCGAAGAATGCTTTGGCACCATCTGCCTGTAGCCCAACCAAATTACTCATGCAAGGACGTATGACAGAAACCAAGTTCTCAATCGAAGTTCCAACTTGGAACGCATTGCCAGATGTGATCATCAGTGAATCCAACATCAAAGCATATATTTCAGACAGCCCTCTCCCAAGAAGCACAGTTTGCATATTCAAACCCTCTGTGTTGTTTCTTGTATTCATGTTCATATTACATTGTCTCAGCCATCCTAAAGTCTCTGTCATGTCCTCAGTTAACTGCTGTATAATTCCGCTAGCTTGCCCTTCAGGTATATATTTAATAGCTTTATGAATTGCAAATTTTATTTCTTGTGAAGAAAGTAGCATTCCAACTGATTTCCCATAAGCTTCGTGACCTAAAGAAGTCATAAAGCTAGCATAATCTTTTTCAGTATCGCCTTCATTTGATATCGCTGTCCTCATGGCTTTACATAGAGCAAAAATACTAATGTTGACCTACAATAGCAAGTATATAGAAAAGGACTGATCATGGTTTTGTATATTAAATTTCAGATTAAGAAGAAGAGAAAAAAGCAGAATAATTTATAAGACAAAAAAAATATATTATGATAAAGATATAACATGACAGAAAAGCAAGACAAATTTCAGATCATAATCCCAAGACTTAATACTGACCTGCCGTAGTTGACCATATAAGGCAACCAGCTGACATCCAAGCTCTTGAATCTTGGAAGTTAACAAGTGTTGCTTAGGTACGCTTGTGAAAGAAAGATTAATAGCAGAGTAAGAAAGGATCACAAGCCATAAGCTCACCAAATCATTCCCAATAACATCATATTCAATTTCCAGAAGATAACTAAGAGTCACCAGTATCTCATTTCCAGCTAAAACATATACTTCCAGGTCTATATCGTTTTCTATTTCACGTCTTGATAATAAAAGCAAATGAGAGGAAACCAACATTACTGTATCATACACCTTTTTTAAGAAATTATGGTAAGCCCCTTCAGAGTTATCCTCAGTTCTCAAGTACACCTTTTCCTTCATAAAACTTGCAAGTAGATTATTTATCGACTTGAGTAAGCAATGAACATCTGACAAGGACGTTCCCAGTTTAATCTCAGCACTAATGTGTTCAATTGTCTGAAGTAAAGGATCCAAAATTTGAACAAAAAACTCAAATAGAGGCTTCCTTATTTCTGTACTCAAACTGCTCTGGCTATTGCTTTTCTCTGAGAGTCCAGAGGATGCATGACTTGATATTTCATCCCTCATTTTGTTATTCAGTTTGGTGTCCTCAGAAGACATTGAAACTCCTTTCACCTTTTTAACTCGGACAACAAGCACATGAAACAATTCCCCTACCGCACCCAATGCCGAAAACTTCTTCCCTGCAACTAGTTTTTGCATTTTATCAAATAAATGTCTATGATAGCTCTTAATATGTGCTTTAGACTCTTCTGATTTCTCATCAGGGGATTTTATAACCTTATCAGAACCATGTAAGCACAAAAATCCATCAATATGCACTGTGTGAAACAAACCATGAGATAGAACTTCTTCAAGTAACTTCATCGATGTTCTTGTCCAACAATGATCACACCCGTCAGCTTTAAGGCTTATGTCAAGCAATAATTGAAGTAATGGTTCCAAAAGCTTATTGACAAAATTGTGAAATCCAGCTTTCTTGGTAGGGTGAGTCCACAAAAATTTAGCAAAAGGCTTAAGCATCATACAGGAAAATTTAATAGCAAAAACTCCTACATCTTTATCTTCAAGGCTACTGATATAAATTTTGTGAAGAAACTGAAGCATTGCATCAATTGTAGAAATCCAAGCATCTAGATTCTCATTGGATAGACCCAAATGGGGAGAAAATACTAAAGAAACACAATCAAGCACAACATTGTACAACTTGAAACAATCCCCGGAAAACAACTCTTCTCTTGAACTCGACAAATCCCCTAGTAGGGATATTGCACTTCTTGTAACAAAACAAAAGGCATGCAAAATTTTTTTTGAGAGATTCAAAGGGATGAGTGTTTTTACTGATTCTTCCAAACAAAATTTAAATACCTCCCAGCATCTATAATCTAAGCATGGCTCAATAGCCATGTTGTGATGTTTTCCACCATCATTCTTCGCTTTCTTTTCAGATGAAATCAACAATGACTGCACCCAGTCGCTAAGAAAAACAATCAAGCGCGACATTTTGACCTTATCATGATATTTATCCTTCTCATTCCACTTCGAGTTTACAAAGCTGAAAACTGCTTCGACCTTCCTGCATTGAAATACCGAAGAACATTAAACAAAAGCTTACAGTGCTACCGCGCAAAACCAAGGAATTCCATAATAACAGATATGCAAAACACAGCGTGAGAGAAACAAACTTTTGTTGATCGAACTCTTTGTTCTGAATCAAGAAAATCAACTCCAAGCTCCTCCATGGACAACTTTCATCAAACTCTTGAGACACTTCTCCCTGCTCCATCTTCTCAACCTGTTCTGTTCCGTCTACAACTTCCACTTCCGGCGAGATTAAAGGCCGAGCAGATTTGGAAGGCCGAGCAGATGTTTGAGGACTCTTCAGCTTTCTCTTCTTACTCTTCATATTTGAATTCGTCACTTTCAGCTCTATCTTCACCATTAACAAATACCTCAAAATCAATGCAAGATTTCCTTGCAACTGCGTTGCGAATGAAACAAACGTTTGCTACCTAAACCCTAAACCAACTTTCCAACTTCGATATCATCCCACCATACCAAGCACGACGGCCAAAAATGCCTTCACCTTCGGCGGCTGTCGCCGGAACCATGCGAAAACAATACGGATCGTATTTTCTTCACGGCCTCGAGAGACAACTCTAGTCCCTTATTTCTTCTGTTTTGTTGCAGGCCAGAGAAGAGGCGGCGTAGGGTTTATCTCCCGGCGAAGGTTTAGTTCTTCGGTGTAGGGTTTAGGGTTGTTTCCGGCGTAGGGTTTATCTGTACACAAGCTTTATGACAATAATTTAATTCCTACTTGGAAATTCATTTATTTATTATTTATTATTTATTTTTATAAAATAATAATAATTAAAAGAAAAATGTCCTTTTTTTTATATATATTTATTTATTTATGTTCGAGGTATCTTTTAAATAAAGTATTTATAAAAAATTAAAAAAAAAACTATAAAAATATTTTTTAGATTTTTTATAAAGTTTAATTTTAGTGTAACGTTTAAAAAATTGATAAGTTTGTGATACCACTCGTCACAATAGCACTTTTAATGGCAGTAGACTTGTGTGCGGCACTCACTTCTCAGCAACAAGTGAATTAAACTAATTCGTTTTTGCGTCGCCTACGAGCAAGCAACGTATGCACGAGCCCCTATCCCCAATTCAAGAGCAAAGTTTTAGAAAACAAAACAGAGAGTTCGAAAGCAAGATTTAAAAAGGTGTTATATGCTAACAAAAATGTAACAACGACTTACCGTATATATATATATATATATATAACTATTGAGTAGGGAGAAGTTGGGTTTAATGCCTTAAAAAGTTTCAAAATTTTAAATTTATAATAATTTAGTGGTTTATAACAATTTAATTATTAATGTAAGATTTTCATACCAATTTTATCCTAAAACAATTCAATTTTTGTATTTTATGAATACATTTGGATTTTAATAAATTCATTAATTTATCTAAATAAACATATAATTATAAAATTTAAAATATATTGACTAATTTATTATAATAATAATAAAAAAGGTCTCTTTTTGAAAAATAAAGTATGTTCGGAGGAATGTAATAGATATTTTAAGGTAAAATTACCTTTATGCCCTCTCGCTACATCGTTCATTCCATGAGGCGGTTCATTCACGGCAACAGTCTTCGTATAAATACCACTTGGCTCTCTATCAGTCTCTGTTATCTTCCCCTTTTCAAACCTTCGATCTCTCTTCTCTGTAAATCGCCATTGTTGACGATTCGAAGATCGTGAAATGACTTACTGTTATGGTTATAAGCCTCGCCCTTCCGGTCCACTCCCCGGCCCTATCCTTGTGCTTCTCACAGTAGTCTTCATCTTGATCGGATTGTCCTCCTTGTTCCCCTCTGAACCTATCGACTTCTCCGAGTTTCAAGTCAATTGGCCTCTTCTCGCTGTTCCGATCATTATACTCGTTCTCGTTCGCTTTTTGTCGTCCGTGGATTCTTCATCCAGGCACTGCGCTTGCGATCGCGGCTGGAAGATGCATTGTCGGTGCCGCCATGGCGCGTGGTAACTTAATTTAATTGAAATGCGTTTCATCGCTTTATATTACTTATAATTGTTGTGTAAATTATTATTCGGTGTTTATGTGATACCGTTTTGATTGTGGAAGTGCTGAAGGATTTTGATCGATTCTTGTTAAAGGATTGAAGGTTGTATACGATGTGATGATGCGTTTGTTCTTAGATAACATGTGAAGCGAAAAGTTTAATTGAGATTTTTTCTCAATTCGTCTTGTTTCGCGTGGTTTAGGGACAATTCGTTAACTATTGACCTTGAACTTTCTGGATTTTGATCTGTTCTTGAGAAATAGATTGTCAATAAAACAGAGCATAAAAGTTACAACATGTATCGGTGGAATTCCTTCCTTTGTCTGACTATTAGATAGTATTAACAATAGAGATTGAATCGAACTTTAAGTCTAAAATTTAGGAGAGGAATTGAAATCTTTTTTATGATTGAGGTTTTTCCTTAGTTCTAAACTTCAAGTATTAGATATGTGCATTGTTAAAAGAATACGGTAATTACATATTTAGTATGAGAAAAAGGGGAAACCAAAACAAAGATATTTGTTCCATTCTGTTACACTTTTTATGTTAAAAATTATTTGTCAACATGCGGGAAAAGATTTGAGGAAAACATTAATACTATTAATAACGTGTTGGAGAATAATTTAACAAACAAAATTTAATTATTATTGTTGGAAAAACTAAAAAACGCGTGATTTTAAAAGTCACAACTACATCTTTATGTTTGCCTAAATTTTATAAGTAGTCCCAATTTTGAAGGCGGTGGTTATTTATGAAAGTTTAATTCTAACTTTTTGACAATTGTAAGGACTAATTTGTGAGGTAATGATTTAAGATTTTTATCTCTGATGAAAATCCTTCCATCAACAAAATAAAAATAAAATATTTTATTATTAACTTATTAATGAAGTAGCCCTTTGCATTATGATTTTGTACTATTTAATGAAATAATATCTGGAAAATATAATCTTATTGATAACTACAAAGAATTTATAAGAGCTTTTTATAACAAGTCGTCCATTCAAACCTTTTTAAAATATATATATAGAATTAAAAAAATGCCCTGTTAGGGTTGCATAAGCATAATTACGAGAAAAAAGAAAAAAGGTGAGTGGTACTAGTGTATGGGGTCGGTTGGCATTAAAATAATGGATATGGTGTGAACATTTGAGTGGTTCATACAAACTTTTCTTCCCATTATTACACTTTTGGAAACGCAAATACCATAAATTTTATTGAAATAATAGTTTTATTTTAGGTACACTTATCGCAAGGTTCGTATCAAGATTTCATCTAAAATTACGATATAATTGCTACATAGATCTTGATTTTTTGAAAAAAAATTGATTAAATTAACAAGGCTTATGGTCTTTTGAATCTTAAATGTACATATCATCGAAGATTTTTGTAGTCTTCATTCAGAATCATATACAACAATCAACCACGATAAACCCAAATCCATTTTATTTCTTCTTTATACGATAATAAATCAAGCTTGGTAAGATTCGAATGCAACTAGGGTTAGGAGCAAAACCAGAATGAGAGGAGCAGCAACCAAAATGCGAATTTAACCGAATACCAGCAGCAATCATTTTAAATGTTCATGGTGAGGCACCTCCTCATCGAGTCGACCTGAATGGTAGTTGCCGAAATCGGAAGTTGATCAGTCCACCCATGGAATATGAAGACATGAAGAAAACCAGCAAGATGGGCAACAAGAAAAGAACCAGCTGGAAACTGGCGGGTGTCCCGAACATTTGAGATTCTTCATTGCCCGTGTGCTGAGAGAACCAAAGCAATGCAATGACAATGCCAAAAATGGTGAGCAATTGTGGTGGTGGAGATGAAACAGACCCTAGGGTTTGTCCTGCCAATCCCTGGAGAGGCCCTCTCCTCTTTGGTTGTACCCACTCCATCTCTCTCTCAGGTCTCTCTCCTTAAGCCTCTTCCTTTCTCTCACTTGAAAGGTCTACACTGCCATGAAATACAAAGAGAGGGAGATGGAATTGGCTTGTGTTGGTTTTGGGATATGTTCTTTGAGTGTTGCCTTGGCCAAGGTATTATTGGTTTTGGGATATTTGCATTTATTAAGCAATAAGATCCTTTCATCTCAAATCACCTGTGTTTTATTCTCTTTGCCAAACTTCTTTCAACTATCTCTAAAGTTTCCAGCAAATCTAAATACTACCCAGAGTTAGAATGACTTTTCAATGAGTTTCCATAGCAATTGAAATCTAGAAGGTGAAGAAACGAAAAATTGGAATCTAGCCTTTGATCTCCTCTCTGGAACTCGGGTCCTAACATGTCTTATGTGAGATCCCACCTCGATTGTGGAGGAGAATGAAACCTTCTTTATTAGGGTGTAGAACCTCCCCTAGCAAACACGTTTTAAAAACCTCGATGGGGAAGCCTGAAAGGAAAAACCCAAAGAAGATATATCCACTATCGATGAGTTTGGATTGTTACAAATATCAGAGTCAGACACCGGGCATTGTACTAGTGAGGAGACTAAGCCCTGAAGAGGGTGGACACGAGGCAGTGTGCCAGCAAGGACGCTGGGCCACGAAGAATGGTGAATTGGGAGGTCCCATATTGATTAGAGAAGGAAACAGGTGCTAGCGAGGACACTGGTCCCAAAGGGGGTGGTGGATTGTAAGATCCCACATTGATTGGGCAGAAGAACAAAACATTATTTATAAGAGTATGAAAACCTCACCTTAGCATACGCATTTTAAAAATCTTGAGAAAACCTCATCTTAGCATACGCATTTTAAAAATCTTGAGAAAACCTGAAAAGAAAAGTCCAAAGAGGACAATATCGGTTGGCTTGGACTTGGACTGTTACATCTTATTTGTGCTCTCTTCTAATTTGCTCCTTGAGCAAAGAATAGCTTCCAGCCTTACATGATTGAGAAGATTGAGAAGGTTGTTCTTTCTATCTATCCAAAATACCACTCAGGCTCAGCATTCTATGAGATGTTAGGAAAGTTCAAAATAACCGAGAAAGACTCAAGAACTCTTATTAAGGTACTCAATTATTCTATAGCAAAGTAACCTCAGGAATACAACAAAAAGATAATATTTTCTAGCATTCACAGAAAGAACCTGAACACGCTGAAAACTTGACAACCCCAAGGGGTGTAGCCATGGATACAAAACATTGTCACCCTTACCTCTTGTGCTCGACACCAGGAACTCCTAAAAGACTTCAAGCAGCGACTTTCTTGGCAGTTACAGAATTAACAATCGTTCCAAATTCGGGACCCTGCAATCGCGATATGGAACAGAAATTGAGATGGGAACTTCAAGTAACATTCTCTAAATTTCATTCTTATAATTTGATAGGAAATATTAGAAATGCACCTTCAACGAAGCACCTCCAACTAGAAATCCATCTATATCCTCTTTTTTGGCAAGCTCCGCACAATTACTCCCATTCACAGATCCTGACAATAATACCATTACTTAGGCATATGAGCCGCTCAAGATTGTTTATTACTTAGGCATATGAGCCGCTCAAGATTGTCGAAACATGGACTTCACGATAATAAGTTCAGACAAGTAAATTTATTTCTACAGCAGCTATAAGTTAAGAGTAGTACAATGGAAGCAGTAGTTACCACCATAAATAATTCGTGTTTTAGATGCCACTTCTGGTGATACATTCTTCTTAAGCCAATCACGAACTGCTGCATGCACTTCCTGAGCTTGCTCGGGCGAAGCCACTTTGCCCGTCCCAATGGCCCATACTGGCTCATAAGCGATAACAATATCATCCCAACTCGGAACAGCATCTGCAGTCATTGGGAAAAACTAAAGTTATACAGAGACCTCCAGCACTTTTCTGTTCTCAGATCTGTGACTATAGATCATCAATGTGAAGGAATGAGCTAGTAACACTTGCCTGCAAAAGCTTTCAATTGCCGAAAGCAAACATCGAAAGTTTTCCCAGCTTCCCTTTCCTCTAGTAATTCCCCAATGCAAGCTATTACTCCAAGACCCTCGCTCAAGGCATAGGAAGCCTTCTTTCCTATGAACTACAGTTGCCAAAGCATCAGTCAGCGTTGGAGAGAATCAGCTTGAACACTGATTTCTTGAGAACCACTCAATTTCATAACATTCACCTGGTCATCTTCACCAATGATATGTCTACGTTCCGAGTGCCCAAGGATAACCCACTTGCAGCCTAGATCTTTCAATTGTTCAACACTGCAGCACATACAAATTAATTTAAATAATGCAAAGATCTAACATATATTATTAGTAAGCGGAAAACTCAAAACACACATGAGACATTTTTGAAAAAATCCGCAGTATGAGTTACAAAGGAAAAGACAAGTTTAATAGGCATCTGATATAAACAGAAAGTAGCTCAATCATGCACAATTGCTCTTCGAAAGCCTTCCCCGTAAAAGGTAAAAAAGCTCAAAAAGGAAAGCTAACGATTTAAATTAAATAAAATTATCGGCTTAAGCAAGGGTAACTTATAAACATCAAAATCTCTTAGGGACTTGTATTTCTCACTCTTATTTTATACGTGTGTGTATATATACCCATAAGTATCAAAGCCAACTTGCACACTTCGACTGTCCTCATGGAATGCTTGGTCCATGGTTACCAAGATAACTCGTAAGATAGTAATCCATAGGTAGGTCGTCACCATGGCTTGAACTTACTCTCTCTAAGCCTATACAACTCTAAAATTTCAAAATGTAATTTTTACAACACGCAACAACTAAAAGCAGTTCAAATCATCAATAGAGCACTAGCATTATGGTGTTAAACATCATCATTATCTCAGTTGCAGATCAATAAATAAGCAGACTACTTAATTTTCAACCTAAGTTTTCACCCTCGTCAAATGGTGTAAAATCAAGAGTCTTGCATGGACTAAAAATATTTTTTCAGAGTACTTACGTTCAAAATATAATCAACAGATATAGATGAATTAAGATAAATAAAAATTTAAAGGTACTAAAAAATTAAAATGTCTCATCAAGGGCAAGCAAGATAACCTGATTTCTCCGGTAAAAGCACCACCCTTGCTCACCCATGAATTTTGGGCAGAAATCTCAATCCTAGATGCCAACGAGCTCTTCACCTGATCAATATAAACAAAGGGAGGTGCTACAACAATATCTGCATTCCTCCGCCCATATCCAAATATCTTTTTTCAGAAGAATGTACTTGAAGAGTAGAATAACAAATGTGAAGAAAAAAAAAGAATCATGTGGGGGGGGGGGGG